TGGGAAATAGATCCATAGTCCAAAACAAAACCAACAAACTTTTGTTAAGTGGTCTTTACGGCTCATCTTGTACAACCGAGCAGGATGATGAAGAAGCGTCATGTTTCTTACTCTGCATTATTAGCCAAGCATAGAAGTGCTCCAGAAATGCAAATTGTGTCATTGTATACGTTTTTGGGAGGCTTTTGTTTATTCATGGAGCACACGAGGTTCACTTCACCAAAGTGAAACTCACGTAAAAATAAATTTAGAAAATCTTTCTAAGATTAACTTTTAAATGCAAACACAGCTAATTATTGAAATAATTAATTATATGGTTCGATAATAAGTACTAGCACAATAATACAATACACCTTTACCATAATGGCTGCAATTGTGTTTTTCCAAAATAAAATAGATATAAATATTCTGYCACTGTAASRTCAAAGARCTWTCAGAAATAAACGTTTTTGGAACGTTTTAGAACTCTGGACAAAATAGGAAAAAAGTTATGGTGAAATGCAAATACAAAGAAATGTATGTAATTTTCCACCAATGGCTGTCTGTCTATTTGTTTCTGAAAATGAAATATGTGAAAACTTCGTCACTGTCTTGTGAATGAGCTACCAGAAATAAACATTTTTTGAAAGTTTTACTCAGCCTTGGATTAAATGCGAACAAATTTATGGCCAAACGAAAATACCAGAAATGTATGTAATTTTCACCAATTCACCAGAATTTAACATTTTCATGTCAAACTTTTATATGTTGTTATTAGCACAGGTTCCTTTCAGCTGTTAGTTTACTTTGACTAAAATTCTAAATTTTAAACATTTATGTGAATTAGATGGCCGCCATTATGGTAAGGGTGTATAGAGGATATTACATGGGCTGGAGGAGATACGGATTTTATCTTCGAGTGTTGAAAAGATCTCTCACGAGTGAGCGTAGCGAACGAGTTAGAGATTTTCAACACGAGAAGATAAAATTCGTATCTCTCAGCGCGGTCATGTAATATTCTGTTAATCACATAATTTTATATGAAAGCAACTTTACGTCGTAAAATACCTTTATTTCTTACTTGCATTACATAGAGAAACCTCGAATGTGTTATTTTCACTAGTGAAAATATCAATTTTACGAAATGGAGAAATACTAGGTATTTCATAGATAACTAGACGCATAGCTGCGTGAACTCGGGGTTCTGCTTGAATATATCATAAAACGATGCAGTGACAACAATGAGTGTTGTAGTCGAAGAATTGAGAAGAATTGGACTATATTGAACCTTAATAAAGTTAATAGTCATACTATCAAAAGGCGTAAAGCAAAAAATATTTCCTGGAATAAAAATTAATAAAAAAACAGTGTACTCAGCATAAATATCATGAAAAAATTGATCATCAGCAAGCCGGTCTTTGATAGTCACATGACAGGCTGTAAACACAGAGTCTTTTATCTTCTCCGCTCTTCCATTCGTCGGCTTTTCCTCAGAAGAATCTGTTCGCATTCCTTAGACGAGACCTTAGTAGTTTCAGAGCCTGCATAAGTTCGTATACAGTTCGCTTGTGCTAAGATAGGTNCTGTTAAAAAAGTCTCGGTCTCGGTCTCGGTCTCGGTCTCGCAATTTGAAAAGCCAAGACGTCTCGGTCTCGCAAGGAAAAACGCTATTCTCGCCGTCTCACAGTCTCGATTTTACCATTCGCCACCCCTAATCCTCTGTCTCATTTGTACCAAATTAGTAAAACTAAAATTTATAAGACATCTTTTCACCTGATTTACTTTTACCTAATACAATGCAAAAAATTGTAACAACAATTGAAAAGAGAAATAAAATTTATTCTATTCTATTACTGGTTCTTTATCAAGAAACGCCGGACTCAAAATGGACTCAAAATGGCAATAGCATTGCGCGGTGAAACGCATACCTCCACGTTGTCAAACCTGAAAATAAAATCATACCAATTACTTCGGAGTGTGGCAGCGCAAATATGGAAAACCATTTTTTTTATTGGTATTGGATTTCAAAACACATACAACAAAATGGATGGTGCCGATTACTGACATTTTTGCCCACAAGATCTCTGTCTCTGGTTTAAGGCTTTCTCATTAGACTTGAAATGGTCTCCTTCGCTGTAACTTGCCGCCATCTTGAAAGGTAGCCGTGCCTTTGTATCAAAGTCAGACGATAGTTTACCTTGCTATGATAGATTCCTGTGAAGAATTCCTGTAGGTGTGTTCTATCATTGCACGCTCAACGTCGTCCCCTATCTATGCAAAGGCACGGCTACCTTTCAGATATGAACCGAGGTGAACCGGGAAGATAATGGTCTTCTTCACTGTTCCCTGCGCCATCTTGAAAGGTAGCCGTGCCTTTACATCGAAGCGAGACGACCGTTGAGAGTGTAATGATGGAAACCTTCTTTTACGCCTACAGACAATTATTCACAGGTATTTATCATTGCACGCTCAACGCTTCGATGTAAAGGCACGTCTACCTTTGAAGATGGCGCACCTAACCGTGAGGGAGACTATTGCAGCTCTGCATCTCATTACTCTATATCGCATTATATATGGACCTCTGAACAATTGAATTTTTATTGAATTATTATTGAATATTTATTGGATTTTTAAAAATACATAACAGTATATGTGAAAGAAGCTATAGTTGTCGAAAGATTAATACCACTCGAKTAGACACCAGCGGAGTCRCTGTAAAAACCCAACAGCTTCGCCGCAGTAATCGTTCCCAAACCATTGGCAAATCCAAGTACACACATCCCAGCCAGTCTCACGTTAACCATATTGACAAATACAAAAGTCAATTGAACAGCAAAAAACTGCATGGAGGATAAATGCTGTCAGGAATGAGATTCTCTCCACAATCCATTGGCGGCTTTGCTAAGTATGTCACACTGATGTCAGGAACAATAAAGACAATCAGAACTATGGCTGTAGCTTGCAAGGAGCCAGCTAAGATATCCTCTGTTGCTATCCACAACAGGACATGAGTTGGGAAATAGATCCANTCGGCTGCCAAAGCATAGATGTGGACGTTTGCGCAACCAGCCACTACTCCCTGGGTGAAACACAAGATGAAAATGATGTAGACGTTGTCTGTGTAGTGAAACCAGGAAACTAACAGAAATACCAACATRTGACAAGCAACCAACAGAAGTAAGATCCAGATACGACGAATCTTAATGGTGTCCAGGAAACGAGAGCAAAAGAAGGACGCGAGAGATAATTCTATCCCTCCGAGCATTACACCAAGATCACTTACGAATCGGTAATACTGATAGTGATCCCGAGGGGGGAAGGGAGAGGATTTAAATGTCACAGTAGAAAGAATGGCAGCAAGGGTTATCATCAGTAAAAAATTCACCGTGCCTCGGGAGTAACAAACACGAAAYATATTGAATAGGAACTTGAGTTGACATYGAATGGTCGATTCTTTAGACTTCGTTTTTCCGGGTTGAGTGACGAGGTCATTATTCTCTTTGTCGTCCAAAGGTTGATACGCGATGTCCTTTGTAGAGTTCTTGTAGGTTTTTAGTGGTTCTTTATCAAGAAACGCATACATCAAGAGTGGGAATAGAGAAAGAGGGCTCAAAATGGCAATAGCATTGCGAGGTGATACGCATAACCACGTTGTCAAACCTGAAAATAAAATAATAACAATTACTTCAGAGTGTTGTAGTGCTAATGTCAATATTGGAAACCTACATTTTCACTAAAGTACAAACGTTCTATTACCATTATGACAACCGTTTGCAATTAGGTGTATATGACGTAGTATATATATCCAGCAGCTAAGACCTTATGGTCGGTAGTCAGAGGTAGTGGTTGATAGAATACTAATGAGTTCGAAATAAAAGTTGCTGGTTGGTAATCAGTTCGCTAAACGTCTCTCTTTGTTTTGAMTTGAAGCCCGAATACATGCCAGTTAGGTCTTGTTGTTGATCCATTCATGTCTGCTGCGAGGAGACCGTGTTTGCGATGTGAAATTGACACCACTGTGCATACTGAGTACAACTTAATGAAACCGCRGACCAAATATAAAACGTGAGCAAAATGTCCCTGATTTCTGCTAATGGACAGCTCAGACCTGGTCGCTGCACAGACGTCCCTCTTCATCAGTTTGATGAGTGTGGATGGTGGGTGGCCCGAGCTCCCGTGACTCCGCGCGACCAAGTCTTTGCCAGGCCACTTTGTGCGATACCCTGGGGACTTCATATTTAGCTCATGCCTTTAAGCGRTTTCCACAAACCGAGCAAGGGATTTTGTGATCTATTGGGACTAAATACTTGAAGTTCTAAAGAACTAGAGTTCCTGTCTTGATCTGATACAAGCAATATGCTCTATTTTCTAAAATATATTTCTTACAGCCTTCAAACAAAGCATTAACCAGTTTMCGAACTCTATCACCACAGCGCGAAGTATTATAATTCTTGGTTTGCAGGTTACGTCACAGCGGCCATCTTGGAGGAACTTTAACAAAAGATTTCTCATTAGTATCTATTGTTCATTCCTCCAACATGGCCGCCGGTCTTTTATCTTTTGAATCTCATGGGAATGGGTGAAAACGATCAATAAGAAACGTGCAAGGGTGAGTAATTTCACCTCCGCAGAAGAAATGACCTCTCAGTCATTTCAATTTCATCGATCTTTGCAAAGGTTCCATGTTGATATTATATCACTTGCAATTTTGTCAGAGAGCAGAGTGATTTACTGATCAGATCCAAACATTCAATAAGCTTTTATGCAAATTAAGCAATAGACAACTACAAAGGAGATATTGTTCTAGGATGAGGYGACTAAAATGCGAATAAATCGCGCCCACTGAACACTTAATATTTTCCTTTCTATCAACGTTCCAACGAAAACAAGGTTGTTGCTGCTGAATATATAGTTCTATGTAAGGGTAAAAGCAGAACCAATGTGCAGAAGTTAAGATTCTACAAAATGTGTAGCAATAACACRACGTAATACAAAATCAAACACCCTGTTCAATTGTCGTTTGATCGTAGTTTGTAGGGGGAATTGTTTAGGAAGCCTTTTGTTGTAGGTTTTTGGGCACTTTTCTCCAAGCGTGACCRTGCACAATCTTTTGTTAAAAAATTGTTTTAGCCAAACTGGTCACATCTGAATGAACAGAGCGAAAATTATTTTTTTAATAATTTCTTCAAAATGCACAAAATATTTTAACCAATATTAAAATATTTCATTTTATAATCTCATAGAGGGTGCTTATGTAAGAAAATAGTTGTGCACGGTCTTGACTGATTCAACCTCAAAATACATACAAAAGAAGTACAACAAAAGGTTTCCAAACCATTCTCCTCGCTGTTTRCATGAGATAGGATGCCCCTACCTGGTAGGCCWAACTCTTTTCTTTTCTTTTCCCAGGAGGCTTTAACTGAAACAAAGAATTTTGGCCCTACTACCAGGGACACCCTATATCATCTAAACTGGGTCTAACTATGGTTTGAAATATATTGTCACTTTCACAAAGGTCTCTAGGTCAAGCAAAAAATATTAGAGTTGTATGCAATATTTAAACACCAGCAGCCCAACCACTATTTATAAGTTGAGTTTTCTTTAGCTTATRTAATTACAATTATGGTTCGCGCCAAAAATCGTTAAGAGTTTGAGTCTTTCGTACTTCATTTCAAAAMATACGTCGATAGTAAGAATAGTATATACAGGGAGTAGAGAACCATACCTGTGTATAAAATGGAGGCCGCAGCTGTCGCAGAATTAACTCCACTCTGATACACTCCAGCAGATTCACTATAATATCCTAACAGCTTCGCCACATTAATCATTCCCAAACCATTGGCAAATCCAAGTACACACATCCCAGCCAGTCTTACGTTAACCATATTGACAAATACAAAAGTCAATTGAACAGCAAAAAACACGATTGCATGGAGAATGAATGCTGTCAGGAATGAGATTCGTTCCACAATCCATGGGCTTACAACGGCTTTGCTAAGTATGTCGGGAACAGTAAAGATAATTAGAACTATGGCTGTAGGCAGCAAGGATCCAGCTAAGATATCTTCAGTTGCAATTCGTAGTAGCACATGTATTGGTAAATACAAACATAATCCAAAACCAAACCAACAAACTTTTGTCAAATGGCCTTCAAAACTCATCTTGCTATGCAAACTCACTTTGCATAGATAATTTGATTGCCCGGGGATTATGACATAATAAAAGGTGTTCCAGTCTCCTTTGTGTCACTCTACTCGAGGCAGCTATGACTTTAAAGTGCAGTCTTGATTGCCCCGCCTTCACTGGAAAAAATCGCRWGCTTTAAAGGTTGTAAATTTGATGTAAATGTGATGTAAGTGTGCAAAATTTTGTAAATTTAATGGAAATGATTTACATCAATCCATGGGCTGAGAACAGCTTTGCTAAGGATTTCAGGAACAATAAAGACAATCAGGACTATGGCTGTAGGCAACAAGGATCCAGCCAAGATATCCTCTGTTGCTATCCAAAAYAGGACATAGGTGAACCAACAAACTTTTGTTAAGCKGTCTTCACAGCTCATCTTGTTTCAACCGAGCATGTTTGAAAGCAGGATGATGATGAAGCGTCATATTTTCTTACTCTGCATTGTCAGCCAAGCATAGAAGTGCGCTAGAAATGCAAATTGTGTCATTGTATGCACCGTTTATTGTGTATTCATGGAGCACACGAGGTTCACTTCATCGAAGTGAAACTCACGTAAAAATAACTTAAACAGATCTTTCTAATATTAACTTCTAATTGCAATCACGGCTAATTATTGAAAGAATAATTATATGGTTCGATAATAAGAACTAGTACGATGATACAATACTTCATTATTGGTACTTGAACACAATATTTGTACATGAGTGAACTCCAATAATTTTATAGAACATGTATAAATTTGAAAAAGAACAGTAACTAAACTAAGTTATTATTTTTTATTATTATTAATCAATATTATTATATCATTCCATCAGTTCAAGTATAAAAGAGCAGCTTAATTTAATAATATTTTCAATAATATATTTTCAATAATATCTTTCATGCTGATTATATATTCAAATAAACGTTTAGAGTGATCGCACTTAAAGCGTGCAACTGTATAAAATCTAAGTAGTATTGATTTGTACTAAAAGTGGWCCTGAAGAAATACTATATTTAAAAATGCTTGTATCAATTCAATTTAATTCACRTAGAGTGATCGCACTTAATCCGTGCAACTGTACAAACAAAATAGTTCTATTTAGTTGTATTTAGGAATTCATGCATGCTGTGCGCAAATTAAATTGAATTGATACAAATGAAGCATTCAATACCGTCTTGCTTCAGGTCCACTTTTAGTACAAATTAATGCTACTTAGATTTTGTACAGTTGCACGCTTTAAGTGCGATCACTCTACCGCATGCACGATTTACTAAATACAACTARATAGCACTATTTAGTTTGTATAGTTGCACGGTTTAAGTGCAATCTCTCTACCGCATGCACGATTTACTAAATACAACTAATTAGCACTATTTAGTTTGTATAGTTGCACGGTTTAAGTGCAATCTCTCTATTAATGACAGCACATGGAAGTCTACAAATGAGCTTAAAATCTTGAATACGCATCGGTGGATTGGACTTTGTCTGCTGATCAATAATTGGTACAGTTTGACGTACTCCACATTCCAGGCGAAGAAAGTCTCGCTAAACAGAATCGACCCAACAACAATCGATGTTCGCAGTGATCTCTTAGCACTTTCTCCACGAATATACCCAACAGCCCTGCTGATAGTCTGCCGACTGATATATTCACTTCTATATACCCGAGAACYTTTCCAAGTTTCCTGGAATCGAGGAAGAGKTCGGCTGCCAAAGCATAGATGTGGACGTTTGCGCAACCAGCCACTACTCCCTGGGTGAAACACAAGATGAAAATGATGTAGACGTTGTCTGTGTAGTGAAACCAGGAAACTGACAGAAACACTATCACATGACCAACAACCAACAGAAGTAAGAYCCAGATACGACGAATCTTAATGGTGTCCAGGAAAAGAGGGCAAAAGAAAGACACAAGAGATAATTCCATCCCTCCGAGCATTAAACCAAGATCACTTATGAATCGGTAATACTGATAGTGATCCCGAGGGGGGAAGGGAGAGGATTTAAATGTGACAGTAGAAAGAATGGCAGCAAGAGTTATCATCATTAAAAAATTCACCAGGCCTCGGGAGTAACAAACACGAAACACATTGAATAGGAACTTGAGTTGACATCGAATTGCACATATTTTACACTTTGTTTTTCCAGACTGAGTGACTGATTTTAGGTCATTATTCTCTTTGTCGTCCAAAGGTTGATACGYKATGTCCTTTGTARAGTTMTTGCAGGATTTTAGTGGCTCTTTATCAAGAAACGCATACATCAAGAGTGGGAACAGAGAAAGAGGGGTCAAAATGGCAATAGCATTGCGAGGTGATACGCATAACCACGTTGTCAAACCTGAAAATAAAATCATAACAATTACTTCAGAGTGTTCTGGTGCTAATGACAATAAGAAAACTWACATTTTAACTAAAGTACAAATGTTCTAGTTCCACTATGACAACCGTTTGCAATTAGGTGTATATGACGTAGTATATATCCAGCATTATAAAAGTTTTTTTGATATATAACGCGCGCTGTGAATGGCTGGCGACCTTCTTTATATCTGAGGACAGAGACACGGCTTACTGGCGTTGTTTTTTGCTCGAAAAACTCAGAAAGATTTTATAAAAGAACTATAAAACGGCCGCTTGTGTCTCTATCCTCTGATATAAACACGGTGGGAGTTTAAAAGCACTCGAGTTTCTAGACTTGATTCTCTTTTGTTTTTCAACTCCCACAGTGTTTATATCAGAGGACAGGGACACACGCGACGTTTTATATTTCTTAAACAAAGGCTTCAACTTATACTTTTTCAAAAATTTTAGACACTGTAAATGAATTTCGAGTGTTTGAAATATTAGGTGTTTCATCTGAATATTATCGCCAAAAGAAGTCATTCCCGCGCGTTTTTGAAGTTTTCAAAAACCAATTACGCAGCGATTGTCACCTATTCATGCCTTATCGATAGAGAATTTTTTGCTTTTTCGAAATCCGTGCACTAAAACAAAAAGTGTTGATTATTTGCGCGTGGATCGTTGTTTTCTTTGTTAATATATTGCACTTCGTACTATACAGTGTTTTTTAGTGCGATATGTTACGCAAATACGCATTTTACTAATTTCTTTTTTTGTTGTTGAAAATTGTATTTTGGCTGGAGTAGTTTAGACAGTATTGTAGAGGAGAGATGGTTTGTCCACTATTTCAAATAAGSGTAGTAACAGGTAGTGACGAAGTTCATTGAGACTTGCCATAAAAAAATTAATTTCGTCTGGTTTTAGCGCGAAGCGCTCTTAATCTTTCGTACTTCATKTCAACAAATACGTCGATATTAAAAATAGTATATACAGGGAGTAGAGAACCATACCTGTGTATAAAATGGAGGCCGCAGCTGTCGCAGAATTAACTCCACTCTGATACACTCCAGCAGATTCACTATAATATCCTAACAGCTTCGCCACATTAATCATTCCCAAACCATTGGCAAATCCAAGTACACACATCCCAGCCAGTCTTACGTTAACCATATTGACAAATACAAAAGTCAATTGAACAACAAAAAACACGATTGCATGGAAAATGAATGCTGTCAGGAATGAGATTCGCTCCACAATCCATGGGCTGAGAACGGCTTTGCTAAGTATATCAGGAACAGTAAAGACAATCAGAACTATGGCTGTAGGCAGCAAGGATCCAGCTAAGACATCTTCAGTTGCAATTCGTAGTAGCACATGTATTGGTAAATACAAACATAATCCAAAACCAAACCAACAAACTTTTGCCAAACGGCCTTTAAACCTCATCTTGTTATTACTTGAAGTACAGCCTTGATTTGCATAGCAGGCAAAGTGCAATAAAGTATGACTTCTCGAGCGTGTGACGTTCTCGTTTTGGGGAACCAATGAGCATGACCCACACAGGACACCCAGGCGATCGATAAGTTAATAAGTCTTTTTTCTTATGTATTCTGTAATTTGTCCATACTTCAATTAAAACAGAACAACGCAATCCTTTGTTCTTTAGGCGACAAAGACAATGATGAACTAAAATCGTTCACTCAAGTTGGWTGAAGTTGACGGCAACTTTGAAGTCAAAAGCTTTTGTTCAAAGGGTTTCTTATCTGTTACTCTACTGTCCTTCGTTTCTTGTTCCTCGGAAATCACTCGCATGGGAAACTTAAAATTTGAATCACAGCACAGGAATCCCGGTCCACGGGACAGGAATCCTAACCAAAGAAAAAAATTAAAGATAAACGAGCCACTGACTTGGAAACAGACAAAGAACGTTTCACGCTCTAGAAATCATACTTAAATTAATTCAAAACAAACCTCGCAAACACAAGATGAGTTGGAAAGACCGCTTAACAAAACTTTCTTGGTTTGGTTTTGGTTTCTGTGTGATTTTCCCACAATATGTGCTACTGTCTATTGGTACTGAAGATATCTTAGCTGGATCCTTGCTATCTACAGCCATTGTTTTGATAGCTTTTACCGTTCCTGACATACTTAGCAAAGCTGTTCTCAGCCCATGGATTGTGGAGCGAATCTCATTCCTGCCAGCATTCATTCTCCATTCAACTCTGTTTTTTGCTGTTCAATTGACTTTTGTGTTTGTCAATATGGTTAACGTGAGACTGGCTGGGATGTGTGTACTTGGATTTGCCAATGGTTTAGGAACGATTACTGCGGCGAAGTTATTGGGTTTTTACAGTGAATCCGCTGGGCTGTATCAAAGTGGAGTCAATTTTTCGACAGTTGCATCTTCTATCACATATACTGGTATGGGTATTCAGTCGCGTTTTCCCTTCAAAATGTATATTTACGCACTAGTGCACATTCTCTGTCGACTAAGTGTTGACAGTCCCTAACAAGGTCATAACCAAGGTGCCGTAACCAAGCGTTTTTTCCTAATTTTTTCCTCCTTTTTTTCGATGTGTTTTGCTTTTCTCGATATAGGTATTATAGTTCAATTAACAACCAGAATATTTCGAGTAAAAAGTTTATAATCGTGCTTCGAAACGCTGCCCGCGCACCTGCGAACTATTCCAAAACTGGTTTCATTTACGATATCACGTTGTTTTATTTTCAGGTTTGACAACGTGGGTATGCGTTTCACCTCGTATTGCCATTGCCATTTTGAGCCCATTTTGTCTGTTTCCACTCTTGATTTATGCGTTTCTTGATAAGGAACCACTAAAAACCTGCAAGAACTCTACAAAGGACATCGCGTATCAACGTTTGGACGACAAAGACAACGATTCACAGTCAGACGCTTTGCATGGAATTACAGATTCTAAGGCGGAGGGCATTGGGACAAAACTCAAGCTTTTGWTCAATGAGTTTCTCGTCATTTTTTACCGGGGCTTGGTGAATTTCTTGGGAAACATATCCCTCGTTGCCATTCTTTCTACTGTGACATTTAAATCCTCTCCCTTCCCTCCTCGGGATCACTATCAGTATTACCGATTCCTGAATGATCTTGGTATAATGCTCGGAGGGATTGAATTATCTCTCGTGTCCTTATTTTGCCCTCGTTTCCTGGACACCATTAAGATTCGTCGTATCTGGATCTTGATTCTGTTGGATGTTGGTCACGTGATGGTGTTTCTGTCAGTTTCCTGGTTTCACTACACAGACAACGTCTACATCATTTTCATCTTGTGTTTCACTCATGGTGTAATTACAGGCTGCGCTTGCGTCCACTGCATTTCTTTAGCTGTCGACCTCTTCTCAGATTCCAGGAAGCGTGGGAAAGTTCTCGGGTATATGGAAGTGAGTGTATCAGTCGCCAGATTATCAGCAGGGCTGTTGGGTATATTCGTGGAGAAAGTGCTAAGAGATCACTGCGAACATCGATTGTTGTTGGGTCGATTCTGTTTAGCGAGACTTTCTTCGCCTGGAATGTGGAGTACGTCAAACTGTACCAATTATTGATCAGCAGACAAAGTCCAATCCTCMAATGCGTATTCAAGATTTTAAGCTCATTTCTAGACTTCCATGTGCTGTCATTAATAGAGTGATCGCACTTAAACCGTCAGGTCGACTTTTAATACAAATTAATACTTCTTAGATTCTGTACAGTTGCACGGATTAAGTACGCTCACTCAATATTGATCTCACTTAAACCGTGAAACTGTACAACTCTAAGTAGTACAAATTTGTTCTAAAAGTGAACATGAAGCAAGACTGTATTAAATGCTTCAATTGTATCAATTCAATTTGTACAGTTGCACGGATTAAGTGCGTTCACTCTATCAGTTTATAAGAATAGCCAGATTGCACAGTGG